AAAATAAATAAAGTAACTGGTATTATTAATGCAACCAACAACCGCTGTTCCTGCTACCACTACCACTACTTCTACTACCACCACTTCTACTACTACTTCTACTACTACTACTACTACTACTACTACTACTACTACTACTACTACTACTACTACTACTACTACTACTACTACTACTACTACTACTACTACTACTACTACTACTACTACTACTACTACTATTACTACTCAATCAGTTGACATGTCCTCGTCCTGAAAAATAATCTACACTGCACGTGAACATAGGGTTTCGGACGTTAGTAGCCACAGAGGAAGAGGTAGATTCTTTATAGGCTTCGCATAAAAAGCCGATAAAATGCTCAATCCTTTTTCTTTCATTTAGTAATTAAACTCATTCCGAACCCCACTCGAATGACATCCCATACATCGGTTTGAATGCGGGTTTCACGACCCGTAGATGTTAGAGAGAGAGAGTGGAGGTTACCGTCAATGTGACCCTCGTTTAGGCTAACCTACACCGACTGCAACAGGACCAACTTGTGAGCAAATCACGCCAGGGCAGCACACGCACTAGAGAGCAAAGGCAACAAAATTTTTCTCTGGTATGCTCCAAGATTCACATCACTCCGTGAAATGGAAATATAACCTTTTGATGTTCTGCCTACTTACTACCCGCTGATCCGGTGTTCCGGTGTTCCGGTGGCACACAATTATCACTGACCTTGCTGGTACGAACAGGTTAGTTGGCCGATTGGTAGGTGAGCAGAGCTGAGAATTTCACTTCACACTGACGCACCTACATACAAACAACCAGAGTCCTTGCCAGTGATTGATCATGCTCACTGATCCATATCCGGTCTGGATGACCTTTATCAAACCACTGTCTCATCTCTATCACAGATTATGATTGCGTGAGTTGTTCTTCGTAGTCGCATAGCCTTACCAGGCTTGGAATGTGATGGAACTGTTGACGTTTTACGCGCGCTCTCTCTTTTTCTCTCTTTGTCGGCTTTGAAAAGGACTACAAAAGTGATTGCGAAAGGATTATCGTGAGCAGGTGGATTCTCAATCTCCCTAATGAGGCACTAAATTGAACTTTTAATTCTGAATGGTAGTATTCGCTAGACTTTAGTTGTGGAAGATAATTACAGAATACCGACAAAGTAGGAAGGATCGTGATCGCATTAATGAGGCTTGATTGACAATTGCGCGGTCGTATGGAAAATTTCTTACATTAAAATCTGTCTGGAGGGAGGACTATCCGAAAACAGATTACGGCGGTGGCAGAGCTCAAATACGGTCCAGTTACCGACTGTAACCCCATTACCACCAACCAACTTCACCAAGCGCATGTACGTATGTATGTATGTATGTATGTATGTATGTATGTATGTATGTATGTATGTATGTATGTTGTATGTATGTATGTATGTATGTATGTATGTATGTATGTATGTATGTATGTATGTATGTATGTGTGTGACTAGTGTACAAATTCATCTCATCTCTGTACGGAAATCATTAGACTGCTAATTACCCCATCACGTGTTGGATGAAGTTCAAATAAATTGATCCGCCTCTCGTGTGGAGAAACTTGTGTTTTTCATACATTTCCATCTCATTTAAATGCACACAAACAGTGGGGAATTAAAGATCTCCCAAGGAGTGAAACTCACACCGAAGACCATCAAGAGTGCCTGGTGCATCTGAACAATTGAATGGCCTAATCCAAGCATCATACTCTAAAAAAACTAGAATTGTTTCATACTGATTTCATTGGTGTTTGTGATGGTTGTCTACCGAACAACGAAGGAATCAACTCGGAAACCGAATTCTTATAATCAGTCGTGTAACTGTTTCGCAGTACTTCGAACAATGTATTTCCCCAAAGAAACTTTAGGATGAAGAAAAATCTTGTTCACAACCACTTCATTGGTAAATTATCAATTGTCTCATGCCAATTTCAAGTCGCTTACATTATAAGTAGTTATTGGGTTGGGTGATAGTGAGAATCCAATGTGTGATTCATATAAATTGCTCCGGAAAGAAAACAAAAGTTCACAGAGGTCAAACACGAATAGGATGGTGATGAAAATTAAAGATAATCTTGCGATGTAAATAATTTAATTTTCTTTTTATTTATTAAATAGATCGTGCTGTATATTTTCAGGATGAGGGTAGCTAACAAAAGGTTACTTGGGAGATGCACAAAGACCGGGCGGTGGGTGGCAGTAGAAGATTTAAACCCACGACATTCGAGTCGCTGTCATGATGACCTAAATCATTTAATTTAAATGTTTTCTGACTGAATGATACACAAATCATGATGTACAGAATTTCATGTATGGTTCTTGTTGGGACTCGTCAGCAGTGAGTAAATATTCTGTCCATACTGGGACTCGAACCGGATAAGCGCTTGACACGTGTGAAACGACCCAATCCGTAGGGGGTGATAGATACGGCGCATGTGTGAAATCGAATGGGCTACTTGGCATGTGGCATTTTATATTATGAAAGTCTTTGCAAGCACCGCAGAACGATAAAAAAAATTTGATAACAGCAAAAGCACAATTATCGGGGTTGTTGGTAACATTCAAGTGAAGACACCAAACAACAGAGGGAAGCATTACGCACTGCTCTACTAGAACCGCGAAAATGGTATAAACTTGGTATGACTTGACCTTTCAAACCCTTTGGTCATGTGATTGATTGATTTCTGAAATATGGTCTGCGGCACACTGAAACCACAATGAAGGAAATTATATTTGTATGGACCAGACAATGTATTTATAATCGTAAACTCAATTTGTATTAAAAATTCAGCATCCCATCGTTAGAACCGCTCATCCCACCTAATATCACGCAAACGCTTCGTGTAATCCAGAAGCAAATATTCGCTCACCATACAAAGAGACCAGGAACACTTCCTTCGTCACAAGGTAGAACACATGGCTTCGCCCACCACTGATAACCGAATATTCTAGTCGCTCGTTAAAGCGGTCTCCCGTAATTTCTGCCCTTCCAAATTTCCACCCATTTGAAATTCCCCTGGGTCTCTTGTGTATGAATCAAACGAAAAAGAAAAGGTCTCTGTTCCCACTTTGCCTGCAACTCTACCTTATCGACCTTAATCTACCCTTCAGCCCTCCTCTCATACATTCAGCTACTCCTTTCTAACTCTGATAACAACGAGAAAGATCCGTCAAACACTTCGTGGTTTAGATGTTTGCAAACCACCTGGTCCAGACAGTATTTCACCGAGTGTCTTAAAAATATGTGCTCTGGGGTTAGCCCCTGTCCTTCACCACTTCTTTTGTTCTTCCCTTGATCTCAACTGTTTTCCCATTCCAAAAAATGCCATTATTTCCATTATCCCAAAGCCTAGTGATCCTTCGATCCCGACAACTACCGTTCCATCATCGACTGAAGTTACATTCTGGACATTTGGATGTATCAAGAATAAGACCAAACTGGTAGGAAAACTGTTGGATATGGGATAGATTTTCGGTGATTGAATCGAAGTTCGAAGGAGATGAAATTATTCTTGCAACCCCAGTGTATAGGAATTCTCAATCTTCCCGCAGAATTTGCTCTCAACCTTCCAATCTTCATTCTACTGTCTTGTCCAAATGGGCAGCAAAACGACAACAAACAAAATCCGTTTATGGTTTTAAAAACGGAAACTAAACGGAGGAGGGAAAATTATCTGACACAAAACGACATGGGGTGGGACAGACAGATCTCTAATAAAATCAGAGGAGATATGGTGATAGAGGAGCACCTTGAAGTACACCAGATATATTAACTAGAGGTTACGATGTACTCCTTCACAATTTGGTGCATTGGACCCTCCATGTGAAATAGTCAGCAAGCCATGAGAGCAGTTCTCTCGGAGTGTCAAAAGATTTAATTTTGAAGAGAAGAGGTGATTAAGAGAAAAAAATCGAACGCGGACGAATCTTAAAAAAACAGACATACTTGGCTGAATTGTTTAATGAGTTACTGGTAAAATGGATTAGAATAGATAAAGCGTTCAATGTGGATCTATTGGGTTCATATGCAAACTGAAGGAGGTCATAGGGAACTGTGCTAACTGACTGTAAGCGACTCAGGATTAACTTTTCACTCACCTTTCGAGCTGCCGGGGTCAACGCGATAGGATTCAACCGTTTTGCATGAACAGTTGAGGGAGAAGACTTTGGGATGGCAANTACTGTTAACTTGAGGCTAAGAGTGAGAAATCGACCGGGAAGATAGGGACTCATTATATTGGCCAGGGAAGCTGCTTCAAATCCGAGAAGTGCTGGAGTGAGACTATCAACGGCCTGAGGTCGGAGGTGATTTTGAGGCCCGGAGAAGCTTAAAAATTTCATCTTATGGCTGCAATATTTCCTCAGCAAGAGGACTATCTCCGTATGAGTCGATGGAGTCTTATCACTGTCATTCCCTATGACTACCGGTGTTTCTTATGGTCCCATGCTTGGACCGACCCACTTTGCTCTATTTATTAACGACTTTTTGTCCGAAATCTCCCATTCCATTCTCCGGTTGATTTCGGGAATATTAATACTCGCAATCAAGCGATTGTCAAGGTGATCATTCAACTGATTCCCATTACTGCACTTCGAAGCCTAAGTTTGCAGCACCAGAATAAAACTACGGATGAACTCATTCGCCGATCTCATTCTTAAATTAAACCTTACTCTCTACGCTGATAGGAGATTTCTTAGCTTGAAATGTTTGAAGAGTAATTACTTGAGTTTCTCATACGACATATACACAGCGCGGTAGAAAATCTTTGCTTTTTCCCTAGGGAATAGGCATCTTTTCCAATAAACTGCAGAAAATAAATCGCTTTCTTTTCATCTTCCAGCTTTTTTTCTCTCGGTAAATACCAGATTCCAAAACGTTCAAAGCAACCTTCAACATCCCATAGAGAAAAATGAATGGTTACTCGTTCCATTTCGGCAGAAATCAGGATGAAAGTATTTCGCGACGTCAAGTGTGATAAACCGGTTGCATGTTAAACAGTAGCAACGCGATCGAGTAATACAGTAGAGTAATGAATTTGTATTACAGCAAAATTACAGGGTCTGGAATTTTAAAACAACCCAGCAACAACAGACAATGAAAATGGAAGTTTATGGTTGCAGTTACTCATGTATATCACAATCCCTCTTTGCATTATCAAGATATTTCTTACTTATTCGCAAATGCCAATTGTCTTGCGACTTTTACGC